GAAAAACAGTGCGTGCATGCGTGCGTGCGTACGCATCGCGAATCCCGGCGTAAGGTGTAAATTACGTCGTCGAAAATAGACAGTCGGATAAATATCGCGGGAATCAAGCGCGAGATATCGCTGTGAAAACAGCGCCGTGAAAATTGTACGTATCGCAGCGAACTGCGCGAAAAAACCCTCCCTTCTACTCCCTGTCTGCATTATTTCTACCAGATTTTAATTATACGGAAATATTGCTCTCTGATACGAAAAATTGCGCAAAAATCCACTTACGCGTATCACAGGAGGGATATACTTCAATCATTAAACATATTTGTATATCGTTATGGACCACTTGTGAGATACAAAGCAATTGCTGGGGTGGAATTTTTATGATTACAGCATTAATTGGAATTAGTATTTATACAATTTGTATTTGTGATTGCACCGAGTATGTCATTCCACGATTAAAATTAGGTCAACCATAATGACGTCATGGAAACGTAGAATAATACTTTGCGCGCTTATAACATATGCGTCTTTGTCACATTTATATGAATTACCAGAGATATGGCACCAGCATATGGTGGAAATCTTTTGTGCATACAACGTTTATTTTAAATACGCGCATAATCCTGTATGTAAATGACATTATTGGTATAATTTATCCTCCAACAATCGTGCACGCAACATATAATCACCTATTGTATTATTTGCAATAAAATAATAATATCCAAAATTAGAAAATTATTATTTTAATGTATTACATAACATTTAAATATATCGTAAATATTTAGTTGTAAATAGTAAAAAACAAGTACGTTACGAAACAAAATAAGAATCATATCGAAATATAAAAATAAAAAATAAAAGAAGAAAACTCCAATTTGAAACCCTGACGAATGTACGAGGATTTGTCGAGACATAATTTATTCACGAAAACTGGAAAACAACACGAAAAATATAAAAATCGATAACAAACCATCCCATATTTATACACGCGATATCTATGTGTGAGATGTATTGTAGAAAAATGAGAAATAGAATTTTCGCCATAGAACACGTAGAAATATTTTCGCAACGGTATTTCACGGCGCGGAACACGCAAACGATCAGATTTACGATATAATTTCGTAATAATACGGGAAACCTTTGTCGCGCTCGTAATTCTATCGAACTCGTTATTGACGTGGCGGCGACAGAGTGGCGATTAACGGCCTCGATTCGGCGCAACGACGAAATTGACGTCCAGCATCCAATAACATCAAAAACTTTCAATCCACTTCGAGCCGTGAAATTCCCTCCTGCGATAGCCCCTTTCCCCATCCTCTCGCGTGCGTTTCCAGGTCCTCGTCAGAACGCAATATCATCGCTGACGAGCTTTAACCCGACACGCGAAAGCGCAGAGGGAGCGTAACGACGAAAGAAATAATTTCGAACAATCTCGCGTCGCGTCGGTCCAAATCACGCCGATTTCTCATATATATGATTCCGAAGAAGGAAATGGCAGAGGAGATATCATCGGTGATATCGACGAACGATCGTGTGCGCGCACGCGTTTCTCCGAAAGCGTTAGAATTTAATTAAATCGGTCTCCGGTTCTACCCCTGTCGTGTCGCAGAGTCCACTTCCTTTCGCCGGACGGTCCCGGACAGCCCCGGATTCACAATTTGATCTTCGTAGAGTTTAACTTCGAACGGGCCCGCCTTCTCTCTCACCCTCTCGGTCTGACGAAACGGCGCTTTAATTATACCGCGGGATTAATTAACTCTCCGTCGAACTCGGCGGAACACACCCGCGGGACTCGCCCGAGCCGATCGCAAATAATTAAAGACTGTTTTTTCGTTCGTTCGTTTTCCTTCCCTCTTTCGTTTCGAACCACCCTACCCTCGAGCTTCCACACAACAGACGCTTTTGCCAGTTCGCAGAGTGATCTTGTATTTGGCATGTCGACCCGGCGACATTAACATTCGCCACACGGGAGCAAAAGATTTTAATTGCACTTGCGCAAAAATCTGAGTGTGGCTTGCAGCGATATATTGGAAACTACACGAAGCTATATCGTAATTTATTAAATGATTTGTATTTTAAAAAATAATGGAGGAAACAGAATGTTTTTTTATTAGTCACGTCTGCATCTATTTCCTATTTCTCTTTCTTTATTTATAATATATGTTTATATACAACTATCATTTCGTACACTGAAGAAGAAAGTTGTTAACTTGACCAAATTGTTCAACTAATTAACTATTTTGTTAATTGAACATATATAAGTATTTAAGTCAAATACACGCTATGATATAGATTTAATATATGTATTTAATTTAAATATGTTCAATTTAACAAAATAGTAATTAGTTGAATGATGTAGTCGAGTTAACAACTTCTTCTCAATGTAGATATACGTATATAGAATTTTCATTCATTATTAATTAAAATTTTAAATAACTTGTAAGTATTTTTGTTTTTTGTTTTATCACGATACTTTTAAATAACATTTTTCCTCTTTTTATAGATCACATATTGATTGATGTAATTTGACTTATTGTTAATGCATTTTATTTGATTGCAAGCGTAAAAAGATCTCTCTTTAACATATCGTTAGAATGTGATAAAACTCTTAACTCGGAAGGTAGTTGAGCTTTCGCCGAATCACGAAGAAAGCACATAGCGTATGTAGATGCGTATATAAATTGAACAGCACACGAACTCAATGTACACACATACGAAAGTTATACTAATATAGCTAAAGCTAAGAGTGACTCTAGTCGAATCCATTAAATATTTGAGCGAACGAAAGAGGCTAGGGAAGCAAGCTCGTGGAGAAAGTCTCCCCTCGACTCTTAAGATCCATATAGTAGCCCAACTCTCTCTGTATTAATATTTACATTTATATTTCTTCCTCGTCGTCCCTCTTATTTCAACTTAATGCCGCCGGGGATTTCAGAGTTCCAGACTGAATTATTATGGTTTTCACAATTCAACACATTTCGAGCAACTATATTTCGGATTATACGTTTGATATAAGCGATACGTACCCATGTCGGCTTCTGTCGAGTGTTTTACACACAAATTACTAAAGATAATCTTAGGTTACAATTACCATCATTAATCTACTATACTCACCATAAAAATTAAATATTTTCAACAAATATTTTTTTCAATTTGAACACTAAATTGTTAATCTCAATATTTTAATCTCATATTTTTTTACAATTTACAAACTTTTTGAAAATAAAGATCCTAATGTATAATGTTGAGAGTCAACGCATTCCTATTTTTTAATATCATACTTAAATAGAAGCAATAAATTCAAAATTCCAGCAACAGTTTGACAATAGATTAGCATTTATGCTATACATTTGAATTTAATCTTTTATGGTAAAGATTTCCGACAGTTTTGCAGTTTCAAATAAATAAAGTTTAGATTGTATTTTTTTTATTTTTTAACTGTCATGTATATTTATTTTATGTTTGTACTCTTTTTAATTAATTCCTTTCACTGTTATATATTTGAAAAATAGGAAGCGTTAATGAAGTAAAATTTATAATTAATGACATAATATTATTAATTACTAGAATACTGATTATTTAATTATTCTCATTAAAATGAGATGTTTCAAAGATCTATTGATTTTAAGCTTTCTACTTTCTCATCAAATAGTTTGCTCGTTAGTCTCGTTAGTATTTTATGTACTTATATTAAAAAATTAATTTTATTAAAAAATCAGTGGCAGAAATATTAAAAATAAAAAATGTAATATATCAACTATTATGTCAATAAATTCAGCCAAATATCAACATCAAATTCCTGATTAAATTAAATAAATATATATAATGTCTGCAAAATATCTCATTGCGGTATTTGATCGATAGAATTAACCGCAGTCTTTAATTAAGTTGAGTCAAGAAGTCGAAAATTGTAACCGAAAAAATTATTTTGACATATTATAATATATAAATTATAACGTAAAGTTCAAAAGTTCAATTATCGATAAAATTTTATTAACGGGCACGTAGTATGAATATTGAAATTGAGAGATTAGATATAACGAAGGAAATATGTCTAATAAAAGTAGTTACTATAAATTAACGAGATTCTCGGGGCTTATTTCCATCAATTGAATCGCTAACATTTCTAATAATGAATAATAATAATATGAAATAGATCGTGTGTGACATTAATATGTACGTGATACATACATTATGCAAACGAAACAAATATATCCTGCAGCATTATCATCTATTAATATATTTGTCAGATTTACCTTTTGTATTTAGAACCATTTGCATCATTATTCATGTGCAATGCACTATATATTATAGTTTTGTAATGTAAAGTATGGAAATTAATAAAAACAATTTGCGCATTGATCTTACTCGAAAACAACATCAAGTTATTTTTTACGAAAATGGGAGTTGTATTTATCTAAACTTTATTTAACAGTATGATTCGATTATTTATTTCTATCACAGATATTGTCTGGATTCATATTTCAAATTTTCAATATTTTCAAGATTTTGTATTATTTTTTATATAAATTTTGGCGTCATATTGCGTTAATTTTAAAATGTTTTTAAATATTAAAATATTAATTAAAATTATAATATTTTATACATATATATATATATATATATATACATATTTTTTTAAATAAACATTAAAAAATTTTGAAATATAATCTATTAATTATTTTTAATATCTATTTTATAATATAATTAATATATACATGCAGTTGATGTGAGTTGTAAGATTAATTGTAAGTTTGAGATATACAAATAATTCTTTTATTTGAATAATGTCTTAGTCGACATGTTTAAATATTTTCAATATTATAAAAATGTTATTAGATATTTTCTTGTATGTATCACTTCTCCTCAAAATAAAAAATCTCGGATATTCCCACATACGCATTACATAAAACAATAATGCAAAGTCGCGCATATATAATGCTTAATATGCGATTGTTGCTAAGATGTAAATGATTAATTGCGCGCAAGTAAAAAAAATAATAAATCACCTCATGATAGCTTCATCGTTCGTTGGTTTCCTCCTGCTCTTTCTTTCTCTCTCTCTCTCTCTCTCTCCCTTATTTTCTCAAGCTGCTTCTTTACAACACTCACGTAATCTATACTCGCGGGAACGCGGTCAATTACGATCACTAACTATCACAACGCGCGACATTTTTTACGACACTCCCGATATTAATCTACGTACGCGTCGCGAGTTTCATTACATTACGACGGAAAAGTAAATGCGAAAAACACACGAAACTATATCACGCGGCACTCGAGACGGCTCGAAAATTAGCGGAACGTACGAATGGCGGGAGAGAATTCAACAATCGTGCGGCCAATTTCACGCGTCATCTACCGCGGCGATGCAGCGGTGTTGCACCTGTTGCTTTTATAGTTGCATTTTTATCTACTTTGTATATACTTTAAGTAATAAATAATATATATGCTCCGCGCACGTTTTATAGAGCGAGATTATACATTCTAAATCAAGAAATGCACGAGTTGAAATTAAAAAATAAATATCCAAGAAACTTCCTCTTTCGTTCCTATAGAAATCTCGCCAAATCTTAATATACGTTTTCAACAAATCATATTCGATGTAGTCTGTATATCAGTATTTTAAGTATTTGAAATAAGTGATTAATTGGCGTTACTAATGATAAATTTCTACAAGGGTGTAATTAATAAGCTGTGTAATTGTTTCCCTATTTTGTATTTATCGGTATGACAGGTGTAAATAATAAAATAAATATAATTTATATATTACGCCAATTTATTAATTACACCCTTGTAGAAATTTATCATTAGTAACACCAATTAATCACTTATTTCAAATACTTAAAATACTAATATACAGTAATTTAAGTACTCGAAATAAGTGATTAAGTACTACAAAATGTCAAAATGATTAATTATTGAGACGATAGATGAACATTCGTAAAATACGTAATCGCTATTTATTTATTGCAATACGTTTCCCAAAATGCGAACAAATTTTGCGATATATATATATTATATGTATATATATGTATTATTTATAGACTTACGAAATCGTTGATGAAGAGCTTTGATTAACTTAATTAATCGCGTCGATTGATAACCGCCAATTATAGGAATGGAGATGATCACGTTTCGAAGGATAATTATGTAGATGTAGAGACGGCTCGTGTTGCTGCCTACCGACTCGAGTGTCACCGAGCGAATGGCAGCGAAGATGATTACCGCACAACAATACGGTGCAAAAACGCGCGTCGCATCAGCCAAGTATGCGTGTTAAATGGGAAGAGTGGGAAGAAGATTCAATGGCTGAAAAATATATTTTATATTTAATTATATTTAAAATATACAAGCATGCATTACATTAGCATGGCAATATTCTGTCCGATCACATTCAAATATTCAAGTGATTAAATGTATATATGTACAGCTATCGACTTAAATAATATGAGAATAACGAGACGATTGCACGACGTAAACGATATGTTCCAATGTATAATTAATAAAGCAGTGTACAATCAATAGAACCATCTAAAACACGCAACAAACTGCTTAAATCATTCAGGTGTGCCGGGTCACCCTTCGTATATATAGCAATGTTCCATCCACAGATTAAAGGAGAGATAAAAATAATACGACTCTACGATTTCAAAGATACAATCGTACATATGATTTTAATGTTAGTTAAAGCTATAAAGTTTAACAAAAGTTAGAAATATATAATTAAAATGTTAATTTAAAAATTAATAAAATCAGAAGTGGCTATATGAACAGAGCGAGATAATTAATTCGCAAGAAAATTTTTTTATTCATTCTTTATTTAAATTTAAATTTAACTTTGTGAAGAATAAATCAAATTTTTCTTAAGAATTAATTATCTCGCTCTGCTCATATCTAGCCACTTCTGATTTTATGAATTTTTGGATACAAGAGCAATTTATCAATTAACTTTTTTAATTATTGGATAGTTTAACGTCAATTTTGTAAAATTAACCAACATAAAAATTTATAAAACAAATATCAAATTTTATTATTAAAATTCGCTTTTCTAATTTAATCGCTACTTAAGATATTTATTTTATTTTATTATAGATTTCTACGATTGCTTAGTACAATTAAAATTCAGAGCATAGACAAATTATTAACGTTATAACAATGCAATTAATAAAATTATAATAAATTCAGTCATATTATCGTATAGAGTTATCTACTAGCAGCATTATTATCAGAAGCAATTTATTCAATCCGATAACAAAATGACACTAGAAATTAAAGTTCTCAAAGATCGAAAACTTTTGAGTAATACTAGCAGATAAATCGAGGCCAAAAATAATCGATTATGACATATTTTGTGTAAAACTTTCTACAATGTGCTTACTTCGCAAAAAGCTTAAACCTTTCGAAGAATGATCAACTATCAATGAGTAGGAAATTTGCGAGAAATTCTGGATAATCCAGATAAGTGTGCGAGCAAACTCGGTGAATTTTTACATTTTTAATGCGACTAGCCAAGTCGAGATATCTGTCGATTTCAGCAGAGGTTACTATAGTTCAATGAGAGAAAAGAAACCATGTTATTGACGCTACCGATCGATATTTGCTGAGATATAACTCGATTGAATACGCGGAGCACGCAATCCGTGTACCTAATAACTTCTAGCAGCTTTTAGCATTCAACGTTAAATAGATCCACTGCTAATCAGAACACGTCATCAGATATGTCACCGATGTCAAGAGATAAAAGAAACATTACATATAATTATGTACGTCGTACGTAATTGCCTAAATAATATATATTCTCTTTTGTTATAGACACAAAAAAAACATGCCTATTTAGATTTAGCATTAAATATATATATATTCATATATTCGTATATTTAATAATTAATAATATTAATATAGTTAATATTAAATCTAAATAGGCTGTATGTTTTTGTGTCTATAACAAGAGAGGATATATATTATTTATGTAATTATTACATAATTATATAATGTATAGAGTTTTGATATTATATATAAAATGTAGGAATAAGAAATAATACATTTTAGCATATAATAAAAAGGTAAATTAACGTTTTGAACTATTTTGCATGTACCTATATAACATAAATGTAGACGAGAGAAAAACTGAGGTAAAAGAATTAAATAGAACTTTAGACTGCCAGCAGCACAATAACATTTTCTATTCTGAAAAATAAAGTTTTGCGAGTATCTTGCGAGATAAAACTGTCTTTCTGGGTTCTCTTTTTCTATTTTGCCTTCATTCTGTTACATATGGCAATTTGGTACGCAAACGCAGATAAAAGATGTAATTTTCGGTGCAAACATTGCTCTTGTAATTTCGCCCGGATTTCGTGTACCCAGAATCTTTCTCTTCCTCTTTTTCCCTCTAGAAAATATACGATGCCGTGTCTCTTCCCATATTCGAATTATTGACATTTAACCATCAATATCTCGCGTATGCTGAATAAATCCACCGTTCTTCCATTCAACCCTCCATATCGCGCGGGCCGGAAATATTATGGAAATTACGCTTCGAAAAGGACGAGATGGGATCTTGCGACTCGCAAATCAAACGCATTAAAAGTCCATTATCGGTCGCTGCGCAAAACGAGATACTCCGATAGAAGAGAAGAGAGAACAAGAAAGAGAGAGGGAGAGAAATGCTAAGAAACGAGAGAGGGACGTGGACCAACGCAAGGAGGAAGATTCAATTGGTCATGGTCAAGCAGTTAGAACCCTACTATTTGTTGACCTCAACGTGACAACTTGCCTCTCGTGAAATATTAATGGTTATATGATAATAATTAACCGTCTGTTTCAAAAATAATTTAACCAATCCGTTTTCGAAATCTATAATAACGTATCATACTAGAATCATTACATATTACATATAATATACATTATACATATAATTCGAAATATATAATAACGTATCAATGCTAGAATCTTAACACAAGATCAATAATTATTGAATAAATATAATTAAATAGAAATAATATAAATATTATATTTTTTATTCAAATATGTATTCATTAACTTTCTACGAACTCTTTTATTTCATCTATCATTATTTATAAGATTTTTGAGATTTATTGTCTTGATTAGAGAATGACTATAATCTAGAATTATATTTAACTGCAAATATTATTTGAAGTTTTTGGTCAATAAATGGGATTTTTATCTTTTATAAATTAAAAAAAAACTTTTTTTAGAAATCAGAAAAACATTGCAAATATGTTTCTCTTTATATTCTTTTTTATATTAATCTTTTTATATTATCTTTCTCTTTTATTTCATCTATCATTATTTATAAGATCTTTGAGATTTATTGTCTTGATTAGAGAATGATTATAATCTAGAATTATATTTAACTGCAAATATTATTTGAAGTTTTTGGTCAATAAATGGGATTTTTATCTTTTATAAATTAAAAAAAACTTTATTTAGAAATCAGAAAAACATTGCAGATATGTTCTTCTTTATATTCTTTTTTATATTAATCTTTTTATATTATCTTTCTTATATATTCCTCTTTTTGATCCAATAGATACACATATAATGGAAGGATCTCATTAATACAACATTTGGTTCAAGAGACAGTTTTCTGATTATATACCTAGACAAGAGCATACGGTTCAACTAAGCTGTCTGTGAAAGATAAGGGTGATCACCCTTCGAAGGGAAGGATCCTACAATATGCTAGGTATTCACAGCATATATAGCAAAGATATATTTTACTGCGAATTCAAAGAAGTGAAAGCAATAAAAATTAAATTTATAAAAATTAGAAATATTTTCTTTTACTTACTATAAAATATGTTGCTTAGTAAGATAGTATAATTATTTTTATCCTAAATAGTATAACTTATTATAATAATATATAAAAATTTGGACAAATATTACTCTGGTTAAAAAAATGCAAAATTCCGAAATGATCATTTGATTAAAGTCAAATAAAACGTAACACAATTATATTTTAATTTCTATGAATATATCTAATTAAAATTTTCTTTGTCAGAAAAAATATACGTATGGTGGAAACGACATTCAGTGAAAAGAATGCAAAATTCCGAAATGATCATTTGATTAAAGTTAAATAAAACGTAACACAATTATATTTTAATTTCTATAAATGCATCTAATTAAAATTTTCTTTGTCAGGAAAAATATACGTATGGTGGAAACAACATTCAGTGAAACATTTTGTTCAATATTAATACATTTCACGTCTGTCAAAAACATTTTTCCCCGGAAATTTATAAAGTAAGCGTTAAAGCGTGTGATCAATGGAACCTTCAATTCAATCACAGAAAGCTACCCCTGAAATTCGAAACGTTCTCTCAGGATCGATGTCGCGCTCACACTTTCACATCAGAGAGTGTGCAAAGAGAGAGAGAGAGAGAGAGAGAGAGAGACATACATATATATATATATATATATATATATATATATATATATATATACGCGGTGCACATTGAGAAGCACTGAGAGAAACCACTGTATAAGCTTAAGTACATGTGTCTGCTCAGGGATATATAGGACGTTATCAACGCCTGCCACATTGGTCCAAAGGCCGAAATACGATTTCGTACTTTGTTCCCGCGCGGGGCCCTGCACGATAATTGCGCAGA